TAATAGAGTTAATAGTAACATTAACACAAAAAAAAAAACGCTGTACAATAATTTCATTTTTGACTAAAAAAAAAAAAAAAAATAATTGGAAATAATTAATTTTTAATTTTGCATTTTTTGCAAGCACGTCAGCATTATCAACTTAAGATGTTTAAAACAAGTTGCAAAGTTAAAAATTGACAATAGTAAAATTTAATTAGTCACTCAATGGGTGAAGATTTTATTAAATAGACATCGAATGCATTAACATATTAAACTAGAGATAAACATATTCGTGAAATAATGTATTACTACTAATATAGAACGAAAGAGCGTGAGAGATTATGATAAATTTCGACGTTGGCCGGGTATGCTCGTGGTAAATAATTTATGCTTTTTATTTGCATGAAGCTTTCGACTACAGAAATGGCGAGTGTGTTTTTAGTAAGTACGCGCAAGAGTGAGCAAAATGGTAATTGTTCGCTTATAAAAATCGCATCGAACATCTATTCTGATAATACAGACTATGCACTTACGATACTTATGTTTCGCAGTTATACGAATCAATGCAGTCCAATTTCGAAAATGTACTCAAGTATAAACATTGATCATCATTGAAGCTCGTAATAGTTATATAGGTGATCTCATTGTTCTATAAAGTTGATATACATATGATTCAATGGCGTAGCCAGAAATCTCACAAGGGGTGGGCCATCAAATGTAATATACTTATATGAATTGACAAATTTAAATTCGATTGTAAATCTTGGTAAATTCGTAAAAACAAAATTGCATATTTTAATTTATCACAGTATCACACAACAAAAATAACAGATAACAACAGTCTCATTTTTGTATATCGTGATATAAGTTTTAAGTAAACAGTTTTATCAAAAATCATGATTACTGATTATACCACGATTATACATAGTAATCACCAGGGTTGGGATTCTATAACACTTAAAAATGCATAAATATGCGCTATAATATTACCTTAAAAATCTCTGAATAAGCTCTAAAAGTATGCAATAAAAACAACAAAAAAAAAAGGAAATTTATTATTTAATAATTTTATACGAGAACACGAGATGAATGTGGACTGTATAAAGCGAATTCTATACTCGTTCGTTGATAATCGGCTATTAGTAGATTTAGTAGAAATTGACAAAAAAAAACCAACAAAATCAGCATATAACAAAAATTAGAACCTAATAACTAAAACAAAATTATTGTATTATATTATACCTACCTATATATCATCGCTGTAATTGTACATAGTTGCATCAGCGTAATAGATCTATTTACTTAATCTATAAATTTATAATTTAATTTAAAATTAAAATTAAAATTTTGAATCTTGAAAATTCGATTAACAAAAATCAAAAAACATGTTTACCAAAATACAATTTCATAAAATATGCCCGATTTTGATTAAAACACAGGTAAAAGGCTAAAAATTCTCAAAAAATTAAAAAAAACTCTATAAACTAAAAAACGCAAAATATGCAAAAAAAAGCAAAATACAATTTTTTATTTGAGTTCTCTGTATCATGAAACAAATTTTTAGCTTACTCTGTTATTTTTAAGCATCTCATAAGAAATATGCAAATGCTATAAAATCTCAACCCTGGTAATAACTAATCAGCCTTAATCGTGGTCATAATTCACAACCATAACGACAGTGTAGTAACTTGTTGAAATCACCCCATCTACGCCACTGCCTTTTCTATGTCCGTTAATATAAGACTCTGCGAGTCGGACTGTGACAAATGCTGTCCGTCATCCACGACGTTGTTAGTTTCTATTTTAATTTTTTTTTGTGTTAAAAAAATTAGTTATCTTTGATGTTCTTTTATTTTGTTGCATATTTATAAATTCGGTTGTCAATTTAGACAAATATTAATATATAAACACAAGTAGATAATTAAGTTATAAATAATGCATTGACAAGTAAAAGAATGCGTTATTGACAACTACACGACTAGACTAGGATCGCATTATGCGTTGCATCCCCTATCGGCAATTAACTAATTAAACAGCAACTGAGCAACGTATGCGGTATTAACGTATTGCCCGAACGGTTCTAAAGAAACGGTCTTGTCTAGATACGATAATGCCTTATCGATTTTCCTTTTTGCTATTTATATTTTACTCGGTATCGCTAAACAATTTGTATTTACAATTTACTATTTTTATTTTGGTTTTCATAACAAATCATTATTTAATTATACATTATATAGTATAATACAAGTATTGAGTAGTATTGTATTATACTATGATATGTACTACACGGACCAAGGGGGGGCCTATGGGCCCCCCTAAATACGACACTGATATGATTCTAATACAGAAAATATATTATCATTATTTGAGCTTCACGTTAACCATAATTGAGAATAACAACAATGTGGTTTAAGTTCGAATGATCACGCCGCGAAAATACAAAAGCAATATCAATATACCGTCCAATTGCGTCATTATTAGTATGACGAATCAATATAGACCAGTTTTTTTTTTTCTAAAACATATGAATTGGTATATTCCATACCTATTATATTGAGTTTTGTGTATATTTTTACTGTTATGTTTACGTGTATTATTTAGTAGAAAATCGTGACTTAAAACAGTTTAAATAATTTGGTTAATCTTAACAAAACGATTTTTTAAGTAGATTTAGAAAAATATAATATAAAACATATTGATTATTTTTAAAAATTGAAATCCTTGTAAAGAAAACATAATATGAAATATACCTTAAAACTCAATATTTTAAAACAATGTGAATACAAATTTAAAAATTAAAATTACAATTCAATAACTTTATTTTATTACGAAAGTAATTTATGTAGATTTTTTTTATTTGGTTATGCGGTTTTTCGTAAAATATACATGCAATTATTAAGAAGTCCTCTTCTTTGAGAATACAATTTATTATTTCTCATTTCTCATCAAATCAACCACGATTTTTACATAATACGTATATGTTACATATTATTACGTACTATTTCATATATTTTATTTTCCATGTGTAATTTTAGACACTCTTTCATTCCCTACCACGATGAGCAGTGTGGAGAGTAGCCTGTTCAGCAGACTGTCTATCGTCGAAAATAATTTTTAGTCCTCTATTTCTTATTCATACGAACAAATTACATAGGGACTGCATCTTACCAGAATTTATCATTTGCTTTTCTTCTTAGTTGTCTTCCTTTTTCAATGGTGCGTGTTTTAGTTAAAACACTTTATTAATTTTTTGTACAAAATATCGTAGTTATTTTATATATAAATTTAAAAAAAAAAAGCGAGAAGCCTAATGCAGATGAGACTCCACGGTCGGATGAGATACAGGAATGAGCTAATTATTTTACTGTAATAGTTTTAATTATTGAAACAATGTATCAGTAATTTCAAAAAAACAATTCTAAGTGAAAAAGGTTGCGTGGATCAGCTTATACTTCTAAAGATGGTTTATATAATATAAGAACCAAATTTCTTAGTAAAATTAATTTTAATTTTAATGTTCTAACTTTTGCAAAAAAAAAAAAAATAGAATCAGATTAGGGCAGGAAGCAAAGGGGGCTCTATCCCCTAGAAAACAGTTCAGCCCCCTCGACAGCCTCCACTGAAAAATATGTATGATAAAATAAAGTTATAAAACATTATTTTTAAATGAGTTACATCAAAAAATGTATGAAATATACTTTTTAAAAATTTGTAATTTATGTAAATACTTTCGTACTTTTGATGATTTGTGTCTTAAGTTTTTAGATAGACTCTGAATTAAATATATTTATTTTATATATTTCCTTATGATTTATTATCATTTGTTCGTTTTCATATAATTATGGTTTTATGTCACGAAAATAATAATAATAGCAATATTATGTTTTACGCTATGAAAATATTTATATTTTATTTAAATAACCTCAATATTTGTTAAAAAAAAAAAACCTTAGCTCATGTAAAAATAATATTTGCCCAACTCTACCCCCTCCCTGGAAAAAAAATTCTAGTGCCGTGCCTTTGCACGGATAAAATACCCTTCCATTCCTATTGTTGTTAATACTTGTTTGTAAATATATTAAACAACGACAAAGAATTAACGTCGAATTTTGGTTAAGAAACATCATTAATAAGCTTTTCGAATTGCTTAGGCACACTGCACTTGTATTTGGAGTAAATTCGTGTAAGCAAAAGTCTATTAAATTATGCATAACTAATGGTTAGCTGATAAATGCAATTTTAAGAAAACTCCAAGCGTGAAGCACATTAAAATTAAAAACTAATGTGTTATATCACGTTATTTATTAAAACGATTAAGTACCTGGTGAAACACTTGTGTTTATAAAAGTTTGTAAATCGATGTGCAGTCATGGGTCACATATTAAAGACCGTTAACCTTGTTGCTATATGAATCATATATTGCAGCTATTTTAATATACAAGGATCACTACTGTTATAGTATAAATGAGTAGTATGAAAACCAATATCACGTGTATAAATATAAATATCTTACATAATATACTATATCGTTGGTATTCGAAGAAACTATTTCGGTGGTTGTCAACATTGAACAGCTATTGCATACGAATACTTAATAATGACTCACAATAAATTAGTCACTTTGCTAACGACGTTTGTAATGTCAATTAATAATTTTGTCTGGATTTGTTGGTCGAGAAAATTAAATACCTATCTCTCTTTTCGCGATATTTGATATCTAAATTAAACACGTAAATTCGTTACCTTTTTGAATATTCTGAAATTTTTTTATTTGATTATTACTCCATTACGTTGAAATTTAGTAATTTTTGAAGTAAAAAGTATTTTTTACTCAATGTGGTGGTTGTTCGACGAAAAACTATTAACTATTTTACCCACAGTTGTAAATCTCTTTGGACTAAAAAAAGATAAGTTTATGTACAATATGTTTATAAGTTCATTTTTAGTTTAAAAATGCAAAAAAATAAATTAACATGTTTGAGAATCATTAAGCAACATATTTAAAGAAAACACAGGTATTAATTTTAGCAATCAGTGTATTAATACAATTCAAATCTTAATAATTCAAAAATATAATTACCTATAATATAATATTATATGTTTGAAATTATTGCTTTATCTTTAATCTGTGCGGTCTACAATCACAATAGGTGTCCTAGCAAACTATAAACGCTTAGCTCTCAGTCTACAAATATTTGTATGTGTAACAGTAGTAATTTATTATCTATTATTCAACGGTTTTTAAAGAGTTATGTTTAGTTTGATTTTCGTAACATAAATTATTGAATAACGATTTCACTATTTTACGTAATACCATTCTATAAGTACATTATCAATTTTATGTTTGACACAATTTAAAATAGTAAAAACAACAACTTCTAAGATTCAAAAACGATTTGTATAATGCTTACAATATTTAACTAGATTGGAAAAAAAAATAACAATGATAAATAAAACAAACAATAAATTATGTGAGTATGGTTTATAAAATAAACTAAATACTAAATCAAATATATAGTATAATAATATGCGCGTTAAGTTAAAATATGCTGCTGCGTATTAGAGATGCGAGTTCTATAATTATATATTCGATCCATTTCATCGATAAATGTTAATATGCCGTTGATTTTTTTTACATCAAGCAAAAAATATATACATTTATGTATATATTTGTAACTATTATAATATATTTTCTTACCTGAATATTTATAACGCTATTTGAAGTAGTTAGAAGTAAATTAAGGATATTGTTATACATATGTCGTCAACGAGATAAAAGTTTAAAACTAGTTGTATCACAAATTTAGTACAAGTCTATAAATCCCATTATTTTCATATTTACTACAAGTATTGTGTTGATGATTTAAAAAAAACTATCTACACACACCTGTAAGATAAAAATTATTTTAATTTATGCAACATACAGAAATAATATTTATAATCTAGATGGGTTTCTTATACTTTAGAAAAATATTCTATCTTACTTTTGAGTAATAATTGAAGAATATTTAGTTCAATTATTTATAATAAAAAACCGAGTACAACCTTAAATTACAATCATAGGTAAGCACACGGGGGGTGCCTAGTGTGTTCGGTCATGTAATGTTTAGAATGTAAATTGGGCCGAAATATTGTAAATGAGGCTGTACAATTTATGTTTAAGAAAATGGGCTTATATTTTAATTGATGTTCCTTGTTGATTAAATGTAATTTTTTTTTAAATATTTGATAAAAAATAAATTATGTTTCGTAATAGAATAAATAAAAAAAAAATTTCTAAATTTTCATGCGAACATTTATTATGCTAATATAACAGATATAACTTACTACAAAAGTACTAATCGTAAATAATTGAAGCTATCTGAGAAAATTATACGAGATTCAAGGAAAACATATTCATTGGGACAAATAATACCATAATATTAAGTAAAAAATAAAAATTATTTTTATTTAATAATTTATTAAACATACCTAAACGTTTTGTTAATATAGGGTCCAAAAGTATTGTACGCATCCCTGAAATACAGGTCTGCACACGCCCATGACTGCAATAGGTATAATATTATACTGTAATTACTGTATTTGCATACTATACAAATGTTTATAAATATCATACCTATCTATTAAGTAACAAATTACGTAAATTGATTAGACTCAAAAATAAAAAATTAAACCATAAATTTACCTTTTTTTTTTAACGGTAAAATCTACACTTCAATCGCATATACACAACTTAATGAATATAATACGAGTATTTAATCATTTCCAAACATTAGTATTAATGTAGAAAATACTAATTATTAGAAATCGATAAAACAATTATTTTTAAAAATAAATTTGTAAAAAAAAATACATTTACATTATAAATTAATCAGTTGGATAATTAGGTCTAAACAAACAATATTATTAATAAATATAACTATTTTCATTGGTTTTTATAATTATCACAGTAAACAAAAAAAAATCATATCAGACAATAAAAGCAAAAGTTGTTTTTTATCCATCTCCCCTCCCCCCATGTCCTAACTGGGCTTTATTTTATTCTAGAAATCATTATTATATTTATGAGCACTGCCGCTTTGCGACGACCCAGAAATAGTGTGCATTTTTGTCGACTCACTGTGATCCAAAGCACTGGTGAATTTTTTCCGTAAGCTCATAATGACTTGGCGCTTGGCAACAAATATAGCAAATATCATCACACCTTGTAGCGCGTTGATTTCATCTAGAATGTACCATATAATCCACTTGTTGTGGAAAATTCTGGACAGTATTTCGAACGACCACGGGATCCCCATGACAAGAAACAGTTTTATACTCATCACAAATCTGTGGGAATGCAATACATATTACAAGGAGGTTGAACAAATAACACTTATGTGAAACATTTTTTTTTCTCGTCGTCTTCAAAACTACGATTATACTTATTATCTGTTTTTATATAATCGGTAAATGTTGTACTTTGCGTTCATATCAAGCAATTATAAATAAAAAACATTGTTGTAGACCATTATATTATAAACAGTCGCAGTTAAATATAAATTAAACATAGAAATACACATTTAAATATACATAGTAAGTTTAGAGTGATTTTAAGTTTTTCATTTTTTCAGTTTAATAGGATATTGTATTACTATATATTTTATTTCTAACATAAAATAGTTTTGTACAAATTTACAAAAATACATTTACCGTCAATAATTTCGTTTTTATTCTATAAATACGTTAAAACAAATAACTTAAGAGTATCTTTGGAGTGTATTTGTAACCATTTAGGTATCCCAATAAAATAAATCAATTTTCAGATAATAAATTTTTTTTCTGATAAATTAAATAAAAAAAAGTTTATACATTACGTCTTGTTCGCTATTGGTGTCTTAACTGTATATTTTTTATACAAAAACGTATGCTCAATTTATTTAGACATGAATTTATTCCAACTAATTATTTCATATTTAAGTTAACAGATAATATTTTTGATTACTAAATATATGTAGATTTATCATGTTAATTCACTAAGCTTAAAATCCAACGATCTATTACTTACTTTTCTTTGTCGACTATAAAACGTTGTGTTTTCGAATCGGACCGTTTGAATTTATTGAGTTCCGATTTAATTCTTGAACAATGTATTGCAGTTAGCACGAACAAAATCAAATTGGCAATTAACATGGTAGACACGGGTAACAAGAAGAAAATTATAGTACCATAATCAGTCGCTAAAGAGTTAACAATTTAAAATATAAATATATCAGGTATAGGTAAAAAATTTTTTAAATATATAAAACCTTAAATTAATAAAATAAAAATACATAAAATCATTATTATTATGGTAAATTTTTAAATATTTGGTTTTGATTTTAGTACTAGCAAGAATAACCTAATAATAATTAGATATTCAATATTTTAGATTTGACAGCTAAAAATGTTAAAATTTATACCGTCTTATATTCATGAACTTTAATTAAATAATAATAGATTTTTGTAAAGTTAAATATTAATTATCAATCACAATAATGTAATGAACGCCAATAATAATTATAATAATAATAATAATAATAATAATTATTATGATTGTTAGTATTTATTTCTTAAACTTCTTTGTTCAAAACATTTTAATAAAAATAGTATCAACCAATAAATTCTAGTTTTGATCTAATCACTTTCTAATCGAATATATTTATTAATAATTATGTACATTTATATGTTTAAAAAAAATAATATTCATCTAGTATCATGATCAATGGTCATTCCCTTACACAAAAATATTAAATGTCGATGGCTGCACGACAAAAGCGGCTAAATGATATCATATATCAAGGTTTTCAGGAGTGCATAAAACTATTTTTATGTTGTTTTTAATTTCAAACTCTCGTAACTCTTATTTTGTAAGTTAATTTTGAATAGTATTTTTGTTATTTTTATGGTTATATAATTTTAAATAAGTTGTATTAATTATTTAAGTTTGTGGAACAACTTTTATAAAATGATTTTAATTTTAGTCACTTGTTTCATAATTATTTATTGATGATAAATGTTTTTGTTGCTTATCTCCACTATTTTTATTCAATTTTATTACATAATTTAAATAATTAGTGCAACTGTATTAGATATATTTTATATAATAGAAAATATTAAAATAAGTAGATATGTAAAATATAAAAAACTAGCTGATCCGACAAACGTTATTTTGTTATATAAATTATTTCTAGAGAATATTTTGATAGAAAAAAATAACTAATTTAATATAAGTGTGTAAGGATGTGTATATAAGTGGAAGAGGTATGGAGTGCTGTGATCGGTGACGGAATCTAAAAATGAAAAAATAGATATCAAACATTTATTTTTTTGATAATTTATTAAAATTGATCCTTTAAAATTATATATATTAGTATTAGTAAAAAACAATATTATTTATCCTTTAATGCAACAGAGTGTACAATATTTTTTGTTATCCCATCTTTCGCCAACACAAACAAACTGTATAGTTCTAGAGCACGCCACGTATAATTGTCCATGTGAAAAACATGATTAAGACTGAATCGCAAGTATCGAAATCGTTCCCTCTCTATCTTTACATACATGTCGACCATGAATTGTTGACAAAGCTCACGACATCGTAGACTAACGTTGTCCTGATCGCGTCTAATCATCAACCGATATGCATAATAATCCTTCAAACTAACATTCTTGTTTATTTTGGAACCTGTTGCAGGATCTTGTTGTTTAATATTTATGCAATACCCATTATTTAATACCAAAAATACAATTAATAGTTTTTAAATAGTTTTTAATAGTTTTTTAATAGTTTTTTTTAATAGTTTCATTTAATAATTCATTTTCAATTGCGCAGTTATCGACCGGGTTAAAAATTATTAAATTAAACTACGATTTATTAAACAATAGCACTTTTCCAATATTTTTTTCGTAAAAACCTTCTTCTGGCAATTACAAACAATTAAAAAAATTTGAGCCAAATTCTAACCTGGGCCAGCCGTTCTCAATTGACGAAATGTTATATATTTTTGGCTCCATTTTTATATATATATATATAGATAAATATAATAACTCGGTGATAAATGATCTATTTTTAAAAACTTAAATTTATATATATATATATGTATATATCAGGGGCGTATTTATGGCGGGGCCGAGGGGGCCCGGGTCCCCTCCGAAATGAAAAACACCATTGTTAAAGATTTTTATTTTTAACATGGATATGTCAATGCTAAGAGTTTCCGAAAATTTGTCGTAACACTGAGAATGTTGCTTATGCGATAATTTAAATTTTATATTTATGGAATATGTTTATTCTTTTAAGAAAATATTTTGGTGAATTTTGAGTGACTCTAATAAAAAATTTGTTTATTACAATGTAGTTTTTATACTTTTAAAAAATAATAAATCATTAAAAAAATTGAAATTCTTATTTTTCTGATGGTATAAAGATTGCCGAGAAGTCTTATAGTGTTAAAGTAATTTTTTTCGTAATAGTGTGGTTCCTTTTTCCCTTCCACCTAAAAATCAAATACATAATCGGCCCCTTCCTAAATGAAAACCTATATACGCCACTGATATATATATAAGTAAAATTAATGGAAGTAATATATATTTAAAGTTTGGTAAAATATTAAATTATTACTGATATGTCAATTGGCTATTTTTAGGAATTTTTTAAGTAACTTATGAAAATGTATGATAAAAACAATATAACACAAAACTTAACAAAAAAAAAAAAAAAAAATATAACAAAAATTAAAAAAAGCTATCTCTTTTAGCTTATTTATGTTTGGTATGCACTATAAAGTACAATTATATAACATAATAAAATCATAATTTTTATTTTAGTTAGATTCTAATTCTACGGTGTCTTCAACAACTGTTTTTGGTAAGTAATCATTTATGATCAGGTCTGAGTGCATTTTTAAATATTTACCATGATACTTTTGTGGTATTATGCCATTATTATGAAGCTTAAAAATGTTTTAAAGGTTAAAAACTCTCTTTTCGTTTGTACAATATTATTCTTATCTTTTTTAATTTCATAATTTTAAAATTTTTTTTGGATTTGTATGTAAAAAAAAAAATGAAATTTATGGAGTACATCTAAAGGCTTTATGAAACAAAAATACTTTACTTTGGTAATCTGGAATACTTCTCCATCTGTGTTTTTGACACCTGAGCTAAAAATTGGGCTGCTAATTTTTCTCAATCAATAAAATCCGAATTAGTAGGTAATAAGTAGTAGATTTCTAACTTCAATAGGCAACGGATTAATTCGTACATTTGTGATCAAAGTAGACCATTTACTCGGTATCAAAATAGTTTACCTATAAGTAGGGAAAGGACTTTAATGCCATAAAAAATAAGAAAAATGTCCTAAAAAAATACAACTTATGCATTAAAAAAATGCACTAAAATTTTTAAAAACACAATTTAGAACAGATTTGTATATGTATAATATAATGTAATTCAACATGTCAATAACAAAATAATGAAAATAAATAAGTCAATATGTATAATATTGTTATTATAACTTACAACTTATAAAAAACACATCATTATTAAAAATGTAATACTAATTATTATTTAGTTTTATATTAGTTATTTGCCGTTATCGCGTATCGTAACGTTATTGAGGTTATTTGGATTAAGATCGTTTCACGCTGACGATACAAACGGGGATTTTTAAACTTAGAGAATTACGTATAGGTAAGTACAATTAGCCGGTCTTCGTAAAAATATCTATTTTTTGAGGCAAAACGAACAATTTTAAACAATTTACATTTGATGTATATTTATTTAAAATTTTTATAATTCCAAGCAACAAATATGTATAAAAATTAATTAAAAACACAAAAATGCACTAAAAAATGAAAATATACAAAATAAAAGTTACATTTTTTAATTCCTTGATGTATGAAATTAAATTCATGGAAAGCAATGTTTTCAGATATTTAGAAAAAAATGCAATTTGCATTCAAATCCATTCTCTACCTATTAGTTAGTTAATACGAATAATATTATTTGTAACAAATAGTTCGAAATAATCAAGGAATTAAAATAGTAATAAGAATTATTTCAAATTCTGAGACTAACTGACTGATCCTATATTATTTATTAAACTATTACTCCATGTTTAATGAATATTTGAATTGCATAATAATATACAATACATAATAATAATACATAATTATTATATGATACCTAAAATAAATGTAGTCGAAGGATCTATTTCTGCAAAAAAAAAAAATAAATCTTATGAATTAATAGTGTTTGAAACAAAATTCTACCTAATAAAAATGTAAGAGCTATAAATACGATATTATGAAACAATTATAGAAATAAATCTTTTATCTTATATTTTATTAAATAGATAGGTGCACGGGATAAAATATTACAAACAATTTAATGTAATTTATATTTTAAATTACATAAATATATATGTATAATACTTAATATCGTATAATTATTATAAATATTATATTATTATATCATTTATAGATTAAAAAAAACATAAATAAGCTGAAATTGTAACTATTATAATTTATTAAAAAAAAAAAAACTAAGTAAATATAAAATTATATCACAATGTTATCAATTTAAAAACATTTTACTATTAAATACTAGTTACCATGTCAAAATAAAAAGTACTATATCATAATAGTTAGTTATTGGTAATAAGTATATCTTAATAATTATAATAAGTTACATTTTACTTATTATCAGTTAGAGGAGATTTATTATGTATTATAATATACCATTGGTACATCAGTGGGAAAATTTTATAAAAAGTAATCGAATTTTTAAATTTAGGATACAAACGATAGTTTGATAAATTAGTTTTAAAACACGGGTTTAAGCGAAATTTTTATGGTCTAAATGCCAATAATATTAAATATATGGTAGCCCAAATGAAATTTTGCTAAGTGTCATTAGGATCTAACTAAAATATCACTTAGATCATAATGGTGCTTAACCTCTTTTGTCGTGCAGCCATCAATGTAATAAAAATAAAATGTACAATATTATAAGTATTATATTTTTAATAATATAAAATTGCGATTTCACATTTACTTTATTTTTTATTTATTTTTTTTTGTAATTTATACACAAAGTTAGTAGAATTAATAAAAATAATAAATGTAAATACACACGCATTCATAAAATAATCTGTTATTTTCCAACAGGACCCATGTATTTTTTTAAATATGCAAATGTTACTCTTACAAGTGATTAAAAGGCTACCTATTACTATTTCAATTACATAATAAAAACATATTAACCTGTCCATAAAGCTTGTAATTTTTACCAGTGTATAAATACATAAATACATAATTTAATTATTTCACTTTCTACCCACAAAGATATGTATAATGAATTCGTTTTAATAAAATTTAATCATTTCAAAAACGACTACGAAAAGAACAAAAAAACATACCAGCGAAATTCGATTTATACTTTAGTGTACTAAATTGTACAGAAAAACAAAGTGCTCACAAAAAATAATTACGAAACATTTGAATATTTTTTATTTTAAGAAAATAATTCTGTTAAGTAAATTATTGGTCATGTATTTATAGATAACTATATTTTGGTAGTGCAATTCTAAAATCAGTCTAAAGCGTTTATTTTGATCAATGTTCAAAATTATATAACTAACAGATGTTTGTTAAATCAACATTCTGCGTCATTTAGTGTAATATTCTGCAGTTAATGTAAAAAAATTAGAAATTTCTAATACATTCTTTTCAAATTATATGGGTCAGTTAATATTGAATATTTATACTTACTAGAAAACCAGCAGCTATTGGTTCCAATATTTGGTGCAAATTTGATTAATACGGCGTTTTGAGAATGTTGAAATAAAAACGCAATAACTATGCAGATACTTGAGAATCCCCAACAGTATATATTGTATATTATGGTCCGTATTGATATTGATGAATGTTTATTAATTGAATTGTTGTACCTAAATTAAAAACGTATCAATAATGATTCTGTAAGTTTTACTATATCAGCGTGTAATTTTATAAAGTATCAAAACATTTAACGATCTTTAAATCCAAAATAAAAGTATCATATTTTAGTTATTTAGAAATTTACGGTGGATAGTATGATAAATTTAAATACATGTTTAAAAAAAAAAAAAAAAATAAGGACACAAAACTGTTAAAAAGTTCCCTCGGGATATATGGGTAATTTAGATATAATAATAAATGTTGAATAATTTTGAATATTCACTAATAACAAGTGAAGATATTAAACTTAATCATAATTTGTAAATGCCTAACATATTATTTAAATAGGTACAATTATAGGTTTCCACACAAATTATTTTTTTAACTTCAATCTTAGAATTTTTATTTTTCATTTAGTACGTCATTTAAAGCAACTTTATGGTTTTATTATGCAACTTAAACACGTATATTAATAATTTAACATATTTTTAGTCCAATTAAATCTGATATTTCAATATGAATTATGACTGTAAAATTATAAGTGTTAAACTGTTAGTGAGCTATACCCGTTTAATAGTTGCACGATCGAACAATATACTCGTACAGTTGTACACATAAAAACATCGTGCGTGATAAACGAGTATTTTACGCATCTATTTTATCTTAAACGACTAAGTAAATTAATGATTTTCATACCTCAACATCCAGTAGATATCGAAGCATATTACGTTTAACCAGCAAAATGTTGTGAGAAATGCAAACAGTGTGATATAACCTGAAATTATAATGTTTTTAATTAATCCGTAGTCCATCAATAAACACATTTATTTTATAAGAAAAAAAAACCTAAACGGAAACCGACAGATCGATCAAATAATTGAAAAAAATAATAAGTTTTATCTATCATAATTAGTTGTAATTTATTTAGGTTAATATGCATCTTAAATGTATTATATTATTATTATTAAATTTTCTGAGTTAAAATCGTATTTTATTATTAACAGATGATTTATACTACTACTAGGACTGATAGGTTAACAAGAATTATCATTATTTTATTGTATTAAAACCACTATTGTTTTGTGTCTTAAGTTATAAATATTATCGGTGCTGAAACCATAAAAATATGTTTCAAAAAGTTAAATTCTACAATTCCCCCGATTAATAACGGTATTCTATGAAAAGAAACTGGAGTGTAATCAAATAATAATAGTCAAAGTGCGTTCGGGTCTAATACAGGTAAATTTTCGAACTTTATTTGAGTTAAAATTGTTGGTAAAATGTCGGTACACTTTTAAAAAAATCCAACGATAATGTATTAATAATTTTATTATAATGTTATTTTTTCGAACCGATTACAGTTCAATCATTGTTTTTTTTTTCGAAACCTAAGTACGGTTCGATTACAATGTAAGCGCTGTACCAAACCTTACCCGCTGCAACCGCGTGGTATGCATTTAATACGTGGTACGCAGTGCGGGATCTAGAAAATTTCACGCCCGGGGCTAATAAAAATTCAGCGCCCTTACGTGGATGGAAGTACAAGGTATGTTCATGATCTTTTTTTTATTTTTCACAAGAGCGCCCTTATACCGATAGCACCTGGGGCAAACGTATAAACTTGCTTCCCTCCCCCTATTAAGATCCGGCACTGGCGGTATGTAACGGGCGTTGCCCATGAGGTACGCACCGAACAGTTTGCACAGGATGGAGTCGATGATGTCGGTCATCCACTGGATGACCAGCAGGCAAACGAACGACATGAGTAGACAGGCCACGTAGCACATGACGTAGTAGCCGTGCACGTTGCGCAGGTTGGACAGCATGGCGTAGACGAGCAGTGTCAGAGCCAGGCACACGATGGACGGTACGAAACCTGCCAGCATGATCACGTACTTCCAGCTGCCCTGGGTGTCCTCGTCCGAGAGCGCGGCCCCGTCTGCGGTACCGTCGTGGACGCTGCGGACGTCGTCGGCCAGGCATACATACGCCTCCAGCATGTAGACACCGGGTCGGTCGGACGGCTCACGGTACTCCAGGCAGTACTGCGTGGCCGGCACGAAGTCGACTGTGGCCGACCGGAATAGGGTGCCGTTGATGAACAGCTTGAACGTGGGTCCGTCCAGCTTGTCCCGGCCTTTGCAGCCCAGACGTTCGTAATACGGCAGCAGCCGCGTGCCATTCGACCGCACCAACGCGTTAGCATTGCCGCTTCCACCGTCGGTCGCCACTTCGTAGATCGGCGACAGGAATGGCACTTTGCTTTTCACGCATGACCTGAGAAAAACGACGAACGACGTTTTAGTATACGGCCGGAGCGTTATCCGAGCCCGGGATTTTTATCGTTACAGCGTTTCACGTATATCATCGTCTTTGAATCAGGGGCGTTCTCATGATGGAGACGAATAGAACAGTCCCCCCCCTCCGTGGCCTCCTTTTTTTCAAATTTATTGTTATTTAGTATTTATATCGTACTTGGAAAAATGTATGAAATTCGTGACCCTCCTCACCTTATTTAAGGGCATAATAACATCAAATAACTAAGGACACCACTACTTCGAACGTTTGAGATCGAAGTAAATTCTCCTAATGCCAGTTGAAGTGGCCCAGGACCGGCACCGAAGTACAGATTATATTCGTAAAATACCGGTGCGAAATGCGACGGTAAGGCGCGTTTGGGAAAATGTTATTTTATTATCGATGTCGTCAAAGAGGATTTTTATTTTTTGTCGATTTATACTTTGTGTCCACGCCCGACTGCGACAAGTCAATACGTCAATGTCAATTATACCCGTAAAATTTTTCCCCTTGTATTACTTGGTTTTTCCGATCTTAAAAAATGTTTTCCCATGTTTGTTGAATTTATCACAATGGGCATTGGATAAATGTCGGTTGCTTCACGTTTATAACGAAGTATTATTGTTATTTATAATTGAAACGATATATCATGACGCGTAGTTGGAAAATATTTTGATCAACTAATAACAATAAAATGATTATTGTAGACCACGGAGCAACAACAAGACATCTCCACTTTTTCAAATTTTTTAAGAGAAACAAGAAACTGTTTTAAAAATTTACAAAAAATATATTCAAATACGTTAACAGTAATTATAATTGATTTCATAAAAAAAATTCAAAATGTATTTTTAAAAACTCAAAAAAAATGAAATAATGGCTTGGAGATATCTTGTTATAGCACCGTAAAATAATTTTTTTAATTATAATGTATAAAAATAATATTATATAATTTAAATTAAAAAAATGTTTTTACCTATAACATTGTGTAAATTATACCTAGCCTGTATATTATATAATTATATACTTGTAGGGGTATCAGGTTGTTGCTCCGTGGCTTTAATTGCCCCCTTTTAATATATTACACACATTTCATAAAATTTGACCGACTAACCAACTATTTTTAATGAAACTATTTTCAGTGGAAATTATTTTATGCCCTTTACAACCAGATTATAAGGTTTTATTATATTGTTTTTATTGCGAATCATTTTAATATCTTAATATTTTATTAATAAATGTTCTAATTTTTCTGTCATACGTACATTATCATAGCTTATTGATATACAACAATATACGAATAGCATAATATTCCGTGAAATGCAGAAAAATTAAAACTTTGTAATGTACTCATTTTCATTATTGGTTTTTACAATTACAAACATATGATTCTAACATGAAATTGTTTTTTTTAAATTATATAAAAAAAAATCGACGTTTTAGTCTAAAAATATCATACAATAAACCTACAAAATATATTCTTATAGTTTATAATATTTGATCGGTTGAGGTTATTTTCAGCATGAAAAATTTTCATATATGTTTCCGTTGAATTGTGCAATATTGTCATTAATTATTCGATATATTAATTTATTGATAAAAATGAATCTTTCGGAATTTAAGTGAAAGTTAATTTTTTTTGAGCAATATGCATAATAGTCATAAACTTAAAAGTTACCCTGGTATAATCGTTAAGATAAAATAATTAGTTTAAATAAATTATGAAGAACAAAAATCGTATAAGAATTATTGTAAGATTCGACGATATCCACAAACGATCCAATGTGTGTGTGTGTAAGTGTGTGTGTGTGTGTGTGTGTGTGTGTGTGTGTGTGTGTGTGTGTG